GGAGGATATTTGAGCCTTGGCTGAACTTCAGGGCATGGAGTGGAGGAATACAACAATTGCAGTCATTTGGAAAAATCCTTTATGGATCATCCACCCCTAGATTGCCCAGCCATATATTTTTGATCATTCTCTTTATTTAATACCTGGGCTAGGAGAGCATTGTCTTTCAATGGTATATTTTAAGGTGCACACATGAATTCACTTCAAGGATTCACTTCAAGATTGGAAGATGCCTTTACATTTAGGATCACCATTTATTCCTTTTCTCATGCTTCACATAAAACCCAGTGACTAAAGGCAAGGAGCAGGCACTGTGTGGTGCTAGCATGGGGGGGGGGGGGGGGGTTATTTAAGCTCTGGATAAACTTTGGGAGGGTGTAGTGATCTAACAATTGCAGTCTGTTGTGAAATTCCTTTTATGGACTAATCACCCACCTCTAGATTGCTTAGCCAGGGTGCCCATAGATTTGTGAGTATTCTTTTTTCTTAATGGCTGGGCTAATAATGGCATATTTTAAACTGCACACATGAATACACTTTAAGGATTGGGAGATACCTTGGGTCACCGCTTATGTCTCTTCCCATGCTTCACCATCAGTAAATGCGTCAATATATCGTAAATCCCAATGACCAGTGTCAAGGTGCAGGAACTGCATGGTGTTGGGATGGGAGGGGGGATATTGGAGCCTTGGCTAACGTGTGGTGGTGGAGTGGGAGATATAACAATTGCGGTCTGTAGGGAAAATCCTTTATGGACTATCCATTCACCCCTAGATTGCTCAGCAAGGATGTCCTAGACCTTTGATTATTCTCTTTTATTAATGGGCTGGGCTAGGAGGTGATCATCTTTCCATATCATATTTTATACTGTGCACATTAATTCACTTCAAGGATTCGAAGACCTCTGCACATATCTTGGGGGTACACTTTATGCCGCTTCCCATTCTTCACAGTTGGTATATGAAGCAATACATAAATTCCAGTGACCAATGGCAAGGTGCAGGTAATGTGTTGTGTTGGGATGGTGGGTGTGTGGGATCAAATGTCAACTTTGCGGCCTGAAGATAATATATGCATTATAAATGATCCCACTGCTTACATAGCCACATGGTAGATAAGGTTGAAAAAAAGACACAAGTCCATCAAATTAATCTCTATGTAAGGTTTAGGAGTGTGATGTCTACAGAATGCTCTGAAGTTCCATGAAATTTATGAGTTCTCTCATTTTAAAGTGTTACATTTTCTTGAGGTCCTTTCAGACATAGAAATGCTTTTTGACCATTTTGCCAGTATCAGATGGATTGGGGGACGATTCTGTGTCTGCACTCACTCCTGACCTATATAGACATCTTGCTGCCAGACCCTCTTGTAGGAGGAATCCATTGGCTGGATTTGATCTTCTTGGAGAAACCACTACTACTTGGATTGCCTGCTTCTGTAAAGATATAAACATTCACTCTGGGCCCATCTGAGCCTGCATGTTTATAGAACGTTCTTTCATCAGAAGGGATCATTTTGACAGATGGATCATACCCATGTGTCTGACACCTGCCTGATTTTGTGGAGACCAGTATTTAGGAAAATCATTAACTGCAAGCCTTTTCCTAAGGAAATAGACATTTTCCATTACATCAGGCGTTTGAGGCTGAACGTATTTCTCATATTGTTCTCGGTGGGAATTCTACCCCTCTATGGCCGTGTGCCATATGCCATAGCAGCAAACCAGATATTATATTTTGTAGCAATCCAAAAGAGTGAAGACTGCCTGCTGATTGATTGCTGTGGGATGCTATTCTTTGACTGTTATTATATAAAATCACATTTTACTTATCTAATTATATAGCACAAATTGCTGTACATCATGGCATCCAATCATATATTTTACAGGTTTTACTACCGTAACTCAAAACTTATCACCTCTACTTACAGAACTTTTCACATCATCATTGCCATTTGCTCTGTCTCAATATTAAATTCTAGGCGAAGGGATAATTACACAGATATTTTATATATATATATATATATATATATATATATATATATATATATATATATATATATAGACACACACACACACACACTGTATTGCCAAAAGTATTGGGACACCCATCCAAATCATTGGATTCAGGTGTTCCAATCACCTCCATGGCCACAGGTGTATAAAATCAAGCACCTAGGCATGCAGACTGCTTCTACAAACATTTGTGAAAGAATGGATCGCTCTCAGGAGCTCAGTGAATTCAAGTGTGGTACCTTGGTAGGTCCATACATGAAATTTCCTTGCTACTAAATATTGCATGGTCAACTGTAAGTGATATAACAAAGTGGGAACAACAGCAACTCAACCACGAAGTGGTAGGCCATATAAAACGACAGAGCGGGGTCAGCGCATGCTGAAGCGCACAGTGCACAGAAGTTGCCAACCTTCTGCAGAATCAATAGCTAAAGACCTCCAAACTTTGTGTGACCTTCAGATTAGCACAGCAACAGTGTGTAGAGAGCTTCATGGTATGGGTTTCCATGGCCGATCAGCTGTATCCAAGCCTTACATCACCAAGTGCAATGCAAAGCGTTGGATGCAGTGGTGTAAAGCTCGCCGCCTCTGAACTCTAGAGTAGTGGAGATGTGTTCTATGCAGTGACGAAATCACACTTCTCTGGCTGGCAATCCTATAGATATATCTGGGTTTGGCGGTTGCCAGGAGAACAGTACTTTCCTGACTGCATTGTGCCAAGCGTAAGTTTGGTGGAGGGGGGATTATGGTGTGGTTTTGTTTTTCAGGGGTTGGGCTTGGCCCCTTAGTTCCAGTGAAGGGAACTCTTAAGGTGTCAGCATACCAAGACATTTTGGACAATTTCATGCTCCCAACTTTGTGGGAACAGTTTGGGATATATGTATATGTTTGTGTGTGTGTATATATATATATATATATATATATATATATATATATATATATATATATATATATATATATATATATATATATATATATATATATATACGAGCTGATTTACCTGCCAAAAAGATTTGTATTGCTGCCCATCCAGTTGTTTGATTTACGATGGAAAACCAAAAAAGTGCCCATCAGATAGCAGTGACATCCTAGTAGAAGGTAAGGAGAAGGTCATTGATATAGTTAACAGTCGACACCATTTGCCCTTCAGCACAACTTTATTTAGCAATGTAGGAGACCTGATTTTTTTTCTCTGCTGCAGTTTCATGTTCACTTTCAGGTCTCCTCTCCACCCTTTGACTTGTGAGTAAAAGGAGAAGCAGCACACTGATCAGCTCAACTATCTGTTACTTTGGTCTTCCCTCTTAGCTACATGTCCCTTGCTTGCTAGCATATGAGCACTGCAGTAAAATGGATTGGCTTCTTCTCCTTCTCCCAGTTTGACTGCTGCTGTATTGAGAATCTGCAGAGGTTGATAGCAGGCCAGATTCAGGTACATACACTGCCTGCATTTGAAAAATAAATTGGAGTTTAGCTTTGAAGGGTAACTCCACATTTGTAGGAAAGTATGAGCAAATAAAAATATAATTTAGCATATTCATTTTTTAATTGAATGTTATTAAAAATAACACCTTTTCAATCTGTATTTCTGTAAAATGCAATGAGGCAACCTGGATGGTGTACAGAACGCCCTCTGAAAATGTCATTTCCTGTTTGCGTGATTGGCTTACTGATTTTCCCTGAAGTCTGTAACAAGATACAAGCCAGATTTTGGGCAAGAAAATTTAAATTTTTTGTGAGATTCTCCCAAAAGGAAATCTCATCTAAAGGGATACAGGCCTTGCCAATTTCATCATTAGAACCCTGCAGCTTCTTCAGCTGATTGATAATTTTTCAATCACTCCCATTAGATTCATTTTCCACATGGACACAGACAAACCGCTATTTCTTCAGACTAACAAAAGGTAGAAATCTGCAACAAAGTTTGTTAAAATCCTTGCAATGAACATACATCATCAAGAGAGGAATGCTTCTTTTTTTTTCCTCAGCCAAAGTGGAGTTAGTCTTTAAATTGGACCTTGCATGGAAAATGGGAGGTCTGCTTTTAGCCAACTCCCTGTCCCCTCCCACCACTTCTCAACAAAAAAGCTATTGCAAACAAAACATCCAATAAAACCCCCCTAAATATCTACCGTGGCCCTGGCCTCCCATTTTTTCGGGAGGCACGGCTGAAGTCACAGTGTCTACTGGCAAAACTGGGTGGTGCGATTGCACCCACCGTGCAATGGTTTGGGATTTCACGCTTTCAAGCAAGGGAGGCCAGGGACAAGATAAGTATTTTTTGGAGGGGCAATATGATTTGTTTACAAAGGTTTATTTTTGTTATTTTTTGGGGGAGAAGGGCTGGCAATTAAAGAGTTACTAAACCCACAACAGTAAAATCAGTATGTATTTGCAGTAAAGCATGCTTGTTATACTCACTGGAACCTATGGGGTTAATCCTCTACATTGTGTAAAAAGGCTGTTTGATCTTGTCTTCTCTGATCCTCCCCTTCTACTGTCCCTAATCAATCTGCTGATAGTACAGAGCCCTAGGAGTCTCTCAGCACTGTCCAGACAGAGGGACAGGGGTCATGTAGCTTCATAGGACAGTGAAGAGGAGAATGAAAATTCCTTCTACAAGAGTACTCAGTGCTAAGCTGAATGTTGGTAGAAATCACTAGACAGCTATATTCTGCTGATGTGGAAAAGTCTTTAGTGGTTTATATTTACTAAAATAATTGAATGTCCATGTTGTGTGTGCTGTGGGAGACCATATACAGTGAATGCCGGGTCCTGGGTTTAGTAACACTCTAAGAAACAATCCTGTTGGTGTTCATGTCAAGATTATGTAACCCAGAGCACAGTCCCTGACATATTTCCTCCCGTACAGTAAAGCAAGCGACATTTGACATATCTTGAAGCTGTGGCAGATTACTAGACACAGTCAGCCTTGCATCAGATGTATTGCACAGTATGACACTGAGAATTATTTGTTCATTTCCTAGGCTGGAGCCGTGAAGGATTACATTAAAATGATGTTGGAGAATGACAAGCTGAAGTTCCTGGTGTTTGCACACCATCTCTCCATGCTGCAGGCCTGCACGGAGGCTGCCATAGAGAACAAGGTAACTTAATCCATCTCTCCATACAAATGCGTCAGTCATGTGATTTGTTATTTACAGAAGAGCTCCCAGCTACGCCTACCCACAGACTAGGCTTGCCAGACTTATGAGCGATGTTTTGTATGAACAATCTCTTGTTTGAAAGATTGTTCCTTAAATAGGAATAATTCTCCCTACCAGAAAAATGGTATTTAACAAAAAAAAAAAAGTCCACTTGTAACTGTAGTAGATAATACACATAATATGATCATTTAAAGCTGAATTCCAGGTATGGCAATTTTTACATATTTATATTAGTCCAGTTTTGACCAATACACACTCTACTGCCAAAAGTATTGGAACGTCTGCCTTTACACACACATGAACTTTAATGGGGTCCCAGTCTTAGCCCGTAGGGTTGAAAATTGAGTTGGCCCCGCCCTTTGCAGCTATAACAGCTTCAACTCTTCTGGGAAGGCTGTCCACAAGGTTTAGGAGGGTGTCTAAGTGAGTCTAAGAAAATGCATGTTAAGTTTTCCCTGGTATTAGGCCTTGCCCTCTTCAATTCTGAGTGGGTCATTGGGCAGCACACAGTCATTGAACAAGAGCCCAAAAACTCTGCTAGGTCAGGGCACAACTGACTATGAAAATCAGATTGGTTTAGTACTTTAAGGGAGATTTACTAAAACGAGACCACTCAGGATCTGGTGCAGCTGTGCATGGTAGCCAGTCAGCTTCTAATCTCAGCTTGTTCAGTTTAGCTTTGGCAATACAGCCTGGAAACTGATTTGTTTCTATGCAGAATTGCACCAAATTTTGCACTTTTCTGGTTTAGTAAATATTCCCCATTGAGTAATTTTTACAAACTCCAAGAAGATTTTGAAAATACTGAATAGTGTGTGTGTATGTATATGTGTGTGTATATACAGTAATTATGTATGTACCATACCTTTGGGATCCCCGTGGAAGCTAGAAATTACTGTAGGGAAGAATTGCTACTACAGTAATTTCTACTAGCTTCCAGCTCCTGTATCAAGCAACTACCCTTCCGCATTGTGAACACAGAAGGTCAATCGGTTGGCATGAGACCCTTTTGGGAAACATTTGGCATTTTTACAATGAATGCAAAACATTCCATAATTGGACCAGGTGGGGTGGCAAGGTTCTGATGTCACAATCTCCACCTCATCCAGTCAGAGAATACTTTGCATTCATTGGCATGAGTACTCATGCCAAATGGGTGACCTCCTGTGTTGATAATACAGTAGCTGCTCAGCACCAGACGCTAATGGAAATCACTGGAATAGTAATGCCTACTACAGTGATTTCCCACCTCCATGGGGATCCCACAGTTGTGACGCATACTTGTATTGGTTCTAGCTTGACTAATGTATTTATGTAAAAATCAGCATACCTGGAATTCAGTTTAAAGCAGAATAAAACTCTCAGCATATATTGCTGGTTTAGTAGTGTGCTTTAACCGCTTCCTGATAGCCCCACACAGATATACTGCTGCAGGGCGGGCACTGTGCGCTGGATCATGTATCTGGTAAGTGATCAGCACTTCCTGGTAGGGTGCTTGCCCGCTGCCCCAGCAGTGCTGTGTTTCATTACGGAGCAAGCCAATCAGCTGATCCCAGCCAATGATTGATCACTGGAACCCACTGATCAGCTCAGCGATTCATAGAAGAGAGCTCTGGCTTGGCCTACACTGTCACGCAATCTTGCAGTTTTTTTTAATTCCCTGCAAAGTAGGGAAAAAAACAGCAAGATCGTTTAGGAAAAGCAGCACATATGACACACATTACACATTGTTAGGCTCACAGTTAACCCTTGATTGCCCCTAGATAGTAATCCCTTCTCAGCCATTAGTACAGTGACAGTGCATAGAATTAGCACTGATCATTGTATTAATGTCAGTTATTATTATTACAGATATTTATATAATGCCGTCATTTTACGCAGTGCTTTACATATATATTGTGCATTCACATCAGTCTCTAACCCTAAAGAGCATACAATTTAAGGACCCTAACTCAATTCATACGTACACATACTAGGACCAATTTAGACAGGAGCCAATTAACGTACCAGCATGTCTTTAGGGTGTTGGAGGAAACCAGAGTTTCCAGAGGAAACCCACACAAGCACAGGGAAAACATGCAAACTCTAGGCAGGTGGTGCCGTTGTTGGGATTTGAACCAATGACTTTAGTGCTGCCATGTGGAAGTGCTAACCATTTAGCCAGTGTGCTGCCAGATTGCCTGCCACACTATAATAGTCCCACTATAAGTCACTGATCACCCCCATTACTAGTATAAACATTTTTTTTTAAATTCCAGTATGTGTGTGTGTGTGTGTGTGTATTTATATATATATATACACCGTGATTTGTAGATGCTTTAACTTTCATGCCAGCTACATAATATACACTTATTGGGATTTTTTTTTTTTTTGTTTTAACAAAGACATCTAGCAGAATACATTTTTGCCTAAGTATATGAGGACATTTAATTTTTTTAAATGTTTTTATTGGATAGTTTTATAGCAGAAAGTAAAAAATATTGTTTCTTTTCAAAATATTCAGGCTTTTTTCATTTACGTAATAAATAAAAAAAAAACCAGTGGTGATCAAATACCACGAAAATAAATTTCTATTTACTGGGTTTTTAATGTTTTTGAAATTTTTAGCTGCTCAAAAACTGTTTCTTGTTGCACTGTAACAATGGCAGGACAATTTCCCGTTATGGTGCTTTCACCAAACCCCAGGCACACGTCCCTTTTCTGTGATTCAGCCACTGATTCTCCTTCCCAAAGCCACTGCCACTCATAGTTAGTGAATGAGTTTCAGCCACGTTTTGCTTGCAGTGATCAGCTGTCCTCAATAGTCTCAGTCCAAAAATTCAAGTTTGCTAGCAAGTTTGTGCCAGGAGCACATTGAAATAGGGTGGCAATGCTAATGCTGTGAGGCAGTGTTGTCACCCTATGGCAGAAAGTCTCTGGTAAGTGGGACCTCTTTCTTCTGTTTACTGTGGACAATACATGTAGGGAAGTTTGTTTTCTAGGGATGTAGACAACAGTACTAATGAGCTAGAGATTTTTATTTACTGGTATTTATATAGCACCAACCATATTTGTTGTCCCGCACTTTACATATATATTGTACATCCACATCAGTCCTTGCCCTCATGGAGCGCTACAGTCTAAGGTCCCTAACTCACATTTATACATACACGTACATACTGGAGCCAGTTTAGACAGAAGCCAATTAACCTAGCAGCATGTCTTTGGAGTGTGGGAGGTGTGCAATACGTGGCTCATTTAGGCACATTTTTAAGGCAGCTTTTCTTCTGTGTAGTGTGGTGTCACTTTAACATGGCTGCCTCCATTGTCTGTAGTGAAATGCTTTGAATTAATTGGATAGGATTTTTCTATCTGAATTTAACTGTAATTGTTCAGAGGAGCTTTTCCTCCTTTCATATTTACTAAAACTGTTTTGGAAAGTCCCAGGAGAAATGCTGAAATCTTAATTGGGAGTGATTTCGGGCCATTAATAGCTCGGCAATGCGAACTGTCAAAGAGCCGCGGTCAATAAACCGCTACTGACAGTTTAATTAATAACCTGCTTTAATCGTAAGCTCTGCGAGGCAGTCCCTCTTTATTTTTCTATAACATGTCTTCAATGTGTAGCTTCCTTTGTGCTTAACCTCATTATACGTATCGATCGGATTCCTCTGTTAAAGGCTGTCTGTGTACTGCTTGAGATTTGGTAAATAGCACTATGTTTCTCACATATAATAGCCATTCATAAGCTAGTAAACACACCTGTTCAATTTACATCTCCTTCCATATGCAAAAAAAATTTCCAAGTGTTTATTATATGTGCAATCTAACTACAAAGAGTAGAGTTGCAACGATAAATGAATATTATTGGTAACATGCAATTTCACAGTAGATAGTAGGATCTAGAATGAAATGTGGAGCGTTCCTTTAAAATAAAAATTCATGGAAAATGAATAAATAAAGAATGAAAAAAAAAAAAAGTGAAATTTGTTTTCACCCCAGAAATTAAAAAAAAAATCTTTCCTGTGTGCTCCTCCATTTTAAATCTGTTGAGGGTTTTGCAATTTGTTTTTGTTTTTTTTTAATTTAAATATTTATTCATTTTTCATTTAAAACAATACACATTTCCATAATTTGAAAATACAACATCACAATTTCTCATAAAACACTAATTTCGTATCATTTTCATTTTCTCCCCATAGCTCCCTTAACCCATAACCCGCCCACCTCCCACCCCACTATTAAATACCCCTGACATCTGACTGATCGACTTGTATCTCATATTCTCTGGATACCTAGGTTTGAAAAAGAAAAGGAAAGAAAGAAAGGCTAATTACTATATTTTCTCCTTTTTCCTAATCCTTTCCCCTTTTCTCTTCCTTTCTTCTTGTCCTCTCTTTCCCTTTTCTTTATGCTTACTTACTCAGTACCTTTCTTTACCTTTACTTTGTACTCCTCCCATTTCTCCCATTTCATATGATATGTCACCATCCTATCTTCCTGTATATAATAGAGTTTTTCCAATCTAGCAATCTGATCTACTCTATTCATCCAATCCTCTTCGCTCGGTGCTTCAACTTTACGCCAAAACTTAGGAATCAGATTTTTTGCTGCATTTAGGTAGCACAATATACCCAGTTCTTTATATTTATTTCCAGATAATATTGAATTATGGAAAAGACAGATTTCAGGGTCCAATCCTATCTCCATCCCAGTGATAATCGTGATTTGGTTTATAACTTTTGCCCAATATATGTGTATTTTTGGACATTCCCACCATATGTGATACATCGTGCCCAACCCTCCACATCCTCGCCAACACCAAGGTTGCTTCTCTTCCCTCATCTTGTGCTCTATCACCGGTGTAACATACCACCTTGTCAAACATTTAAAATTCATTTCCACTTCTCGCATACTAATATTTTCGTGTACCATTCTATATATTTTCCTCTGTGTGTGCT